ATAACTATCAGTGCCAAGCTATCATATCAGCCTTGGTAAAATTAGCTAAATCTAAATCATACCTAGCCTTCTCCTCTTCTGTTGCTCCTGGATTTAGCTCCTTGGCCATTTGCAAATTCCCCTCTACAACGTCCAACAATTTTGGTATGCTTCTTAGAAGTATGCATATTTTATATTTCCAAGTTGACCAACTTTTCTCATCAAAAAACTTATACTTGCAGTTTGGTAAACTCCATCATTTATATTTCCTAACAATTAATAATCTTGAAGAGGTTTACAAACAACACAAATATTTAATTTTGACTTTTGCAAAAAAAATTAACATTGACACAAGACAAACATGAAATAAATTAGTGATTTTGAACCACGGGCTTCTGCTACCATGTTGAATATTCCAAGAATCTACAATTAATCACTAACCAGAAAACTATAAAAAAGTGATTTTAACAGAAACCTGAATGATATTGTTTATTCGAAATTAACTTTGAACACATGTTAATCTATATAAAACAAAGTCGTGTTAGTTACACCCACGAATACTTGAAAATAACTGGTATGGATCATAAACTTAAACAAATGAAGTTTTTGGCCTGAAAATAAACATTATTTAACATTGCTTAAATGGAACTGCCAGACATATGTTAATGCTATTAGTATAGGATTTGGGCTAACAACGTCATTTGTTTATGTTTATAATCCATACCGGGTCTTATTCTAGTATTCGTGGTTACACCACTTATAACTCAAGAACGGCTGGACGGATATTAATGGGGTGGCGGAATTAAATTGTACCCCCTGCAGGTTATTGATGTCACGATGATGTCTCATTTTCTCGACCAAAACGGAGTGTACGAGCTGGAATTGTGTTCCTCATAAAACTTTGGTCACACTGGTCCTGTATTGTGATTGGCTGACGCCAACTGCAGACTCTTGTGGCCCTTATCAAGGCCCCACTAGAAAACAGGCCAAGCTGCAACACGGCACAGAAAACATACTACTATAACCCAGAATGCCAATCGCATGGTAAAAAGCATTAAGTAGCCTACTTTGAGAGAGCTTTGCCTGTCAATTCGTAGGCAGCGCCACCAGCGTTGCTATGCTGAGTGCTATGTGAGTAGTATGTTTTCTGTGAACACGGGGCAGCGCAACACTACATCACAGTGGTGGACAGTTGTACTAAAATCTTGACCGTTAAAATCATGACGAAATGCTTGCCCGCTTATTTACCTAAAACATATGGGATATGGCAGTGAATGTATCAACGAATCTATCCACTAGTGTGACGTCATGGATCCTGCAGCATGGCCTGTTTTTCTAGTGGGGCCTTGCCCCTAGTGTAATTCAGTACTTTGTCACCACAATAAGTTTGGAGGTTGCTCAGCATTTTTGCAACTAACTTTTAAATGGTGAGGAAATCAAACAAAGTGGAAGGTAATATTCTGGAAAAAATTCCTACAAATTACTATTCTGCATTTCTTGAAAATACTCAATAAAGGCAGCCAAAAGTTTTCTCCAAATAAAATAAAATTTGAAAACCCCGTTCTCAATGAATTTCTTATGAAAATCCTGTTTTTTTACTTATAAAATAAATGCTTTTTAAAATAAATCCTAACAAAACAAACTTTCACAACTATTTGCAAATCTGCAGGGAGTGATTTTTCCAACCACCCATTAATTAATAAAATCGGCCTGGTAGAACTGTAGATTTAGGTGTACATAAACAAAGATTTTATAAACTTAATTATTATAAGAAGTAAGCGTAGATAATTGCTTGAGAGATTTGTTTTTATGAATTGCCAACATTTGAGTGGGGCTGAAAACCCCAGTAAAATATTGGAGGTTATATTAAAGGGTTTATTTACAACAGTCACTTTTCAGTTGGTTTTTACCTGTTTTACTTAAATAACTTGAGCCACAAACTACATCAATCTTGTTCTTATTTTACTTAAATCTTTACAATGAAAATATGTTTACAGTGATCAACACTTGATATTCTATTCCATTTACATATATAAGTCTAGTAATTATTACTTGGTTATTTACACCTGGTACTACAACTAGCAAAATCACTTTCACTTGTCACTTTCTGAAGATTTTAATTTTGCTTCAAACTTTTCAAACTCCGATTTCTCAATTTTCTGAGCTTTGTCCTCCACTTGTTCAACAGCTACCACCTAAAGAACATGCCAACTCCTTAACTGGGCCCACACGAATATGTTTAAAAAAATGTGCTTCTACATGAAACTGAATAAAGACTTTGGATCAATATGTTAGTTAACCCTTCCCGGACGGCCTATAATATGTAAACAGACAGCAAAATAATAATAAAAAAAACACAACAAAATTTCTTTTTACATCTGCCATTTATGGAATGTTGTAAATAGTTAACCTATGCAGCACTTATGTCCAAAATATTTTTTAATATATTTTATAAATAAAAAATTGTTTAATTTGTTATTCTTCTAGAAAAACATTACTAGTACATCGGTTAAAGATATAATTTAATCAAATATCCGCCTACCTTAATAAATTAGGTAAGTAAATAAAATTCAGCCTGTTATCAAATGCTAGTAGGCTACTACATAATTATATTGACCTTAAAACTAGAATTAATTGATCTCTACTATGCTTTCTTTTGTTCAATTATTTGTGGTGTAACTATGGTCCAAATAACTATTTGTCCAATTAACTATGGGATTGAGTTCTGGGGATTATCATATGATTCAGTTAAAGTGTTTAAAGTACAGAAAAGGTTTTTAAGAATATTGACATTCTCATATTTTAGAAAATCTTGTAAATCACTGTTAAGGGAATTAAATATCTTAACTGTTCCAAATTTATACATATTCAAAACCTTAGTAATGGTACAATCAAACTGTGAAAATTTGTTAAATAATAATTTTGATCACAGATATAACACAAGGTATAAAAATAATTTTCAATTACCAATCCATCGTCCGCGTCTCATTGAAAAATGAAAACTTACCAACATACCTGGGAAAAAATCTGTACAATAAGTTAAAAAATATAACCAATACATTGGCATTTAAAAAGAATTTCCCAAAATTTTTAATAGAAAAAACTACTACCATATTAATGAGTATTTGTTGTGAACTATTTTTAAATCAGTCAGTATTATATTTTATTTTTAACTATAGAATGAAAGATGACAAACTATGTACAGTCCAACCTCAGTATAACGAATCTGAAGGGACCGAACTGAATATTCGTTATATCAAGGATTTCGTTAAAATGAGGTTCGTTATATAGAGGTTAGGTTTGCAGGAATTTCGCTAAGTCGAGGTTCAGAACCAGTGTCGGTCAATATAGGCCGGGATTTGACCTCATTAAAACACAATTAAAGTAGCATAGGCTACAATACTTTACAGTACAGTGTTCATTGTGCAGTAGAACCTTCTGTATCCAATAGTCAATGGTAGAATCTAAATTATCCGGCATAATAAAGGTGAGGGATCTTGAATATTGCGCAATCATGACAATGGCATATGCCTTGGTACAGGTTAAAAACTTTAAGTTTAAAATCACAGCTTGTTCTAACCCTCCTAAAGACTAGTCAAACACTACATTGCGTAGTCATAAACCATGTAAAGAACAAAACAAAACAGTAGAAAGTTGTGTAAGCTACTGCTCGCGATAGGCCAGTACGCTACCGTAGGCTACAGTACTGATTTATCATAACAGAGGAATGTCAATAATAATCATTAACTATAGCATTGGTGTTGCTAGTTGAAACAAATCGTATTGAAAACAATAAATTATTAGATAAGTCATTATAAAAGTGCATATTCATAGCCAACTTTAAGATAATAAAAACACTCGTAAATTAAGGAATATTAAAATAACGATGTTGCTATTCTTTCTCTTTGCTTTTGTTTTTATATTCTTTCTTAGATTTCTCTTTATCCAAAAATTGTACAATTCACCATATTTACTTATCACCCAATCACAGCTTACTACAGATTACGTCGTCATCAGTCCTCAGTGAATGAAATCAGTTCTCAGTTGCAACATTGCGTGCGCAGCGACAGCAGACAGAGAGATGTGTAAAACGGAGCAGACGAATGTTAGCGCAAGCGATGACGTCACCTTTCCATTTCTTTTTATAAAGAAACAGATTTTCCAAAAAACAATACTGGGGTGGGGGATTTGTTATATCAAGGGAAAGACGTAGACGATTCGTTATGCAGAGGTTAAATTCGCAATGTAGAGGTTCTGACAATGATAAATTCGTTATATTGAGAAGTCTTATTTTAGCCGAAATCACGAAAAATTCGTTAAATCAAGGTCATTGTTATGGTTTGTTCGTTATGTAGAGGTAAAATATACATAGTCTCTTATGGAGAGTTCTAGGGAATTAAAAAAAATTCGTTATATCAAGGAATTCGTTATATTGAGGTTCGTTATATCAAGGTTAGACTGTATTTATTATAATTTGACTATGTCACCTGTTTCGTAGCTGCTGTATATAAATGTTTTGTGACAATAAAGTTTGATTTGATTTTAAAAACGTCAGATTTTTGTAAACTGTCCCTGGGTCTAGGTCTTACCATGAGACCTACAAGCGGATTCACTTTATACAGCAATACACTAGTTTTATAAATAAATAAATATCTAGAGGTTTTTACTGCTAAAAATACTCTACTAAACCTTCAGTTATGAAGTGTAATAAAATTATGAAATAAGTGCTCAAAATTAGACTTTACAATGTTAGCTTTCAGACACAAATTTAATTTTTTAATTCCCATAAATGGTCAAATATAAAAATGAGACTGTAAAGCTAATGTCAAAATATGACTACTGTGGCACACTAAAATAGGCCTAAAATGTAAAAAAGACAAATATGTTTTGAATCAAATTTACTGATTTAAACCTTTTTTGTAGGCCTACTATTTATAAAACCATTGAGTATACCGTGGCGAAATAAAACTTGAAGCCTGTGGAGTTAGGAACTAAACTACTAAAAATGTAAAAACCATTACTTCAGGTATGTAAAACTGCAGCATATTCTGAACTCCGTTTTTCAACGTGACCACAGAGCTAGGACAACTTGTACAGGAGCCTTGCATCTTCAACTTTACAATGCCATCTTCAAATCCCTGCAAACATAGGATAAAACTTTTCTGTGTGTTTAATTAAAAGTAAAATTACCTAATATCAATAATCTTTATTCATAATAATCTTTATTCTGTATGTACCTATGTACATACATGAATAGAGTCAATACATACAAATAATTTTACAGAAATCCATATATAATAAATAATATTGGTTTTATACAAAAAAATTAAAAACTTTCATTTTCAATGAAAAAAAATTAGAACTTCTTACAATCTTATCTTTATTTATCCTATAAAGCTTACAATAAACCTAACCTTGATAGTGTAATCTTCAAGAAGAACTGGTAATAATGGAATTAATATAAACTTGATATAAAAACTTCACCAATATTTCTGAATTTTTAATTTTATAAGGCCTTTTGCCAGCTATGCTGGCATGGAATGGGCATACGGGAGGGACGATGGCTAATGGTGTGGTGACGTCATATCTCTAGTGGCTAATGTCTTCTCTTGAGGCAACACGATTACCCTAACGAGACAACGTGATTCCAGCGGTGTTCGTGGCATAATTAGTAGCGTTACGGCCTGGTATTCAGGAGGTCCCCAGTTCGAAACCTGCCAGGGACATTTACTTTTTGTCAAAGATTTTTCTTTGAGTGTGACTACTTCTTAACTGTACACCTTTTGTTAGAGTTTGATGCATTTATAATTTTATTTATGAACAGAACTTTTTTTATAGTAAACCTTTATTCGATTTTTATCTTGTATCTTTTTTTATATTATCAGCAAGTTTGGTTGGTTGGGTTAGGTTATGACAGTTTAATTTTATAATTAAAAATTATAAGTAAACATTCATTTGAATTTTTTCTTATATATTTTTTTATACTATCAGCAAGTTTGGTTGGTTAGGATAGATTATCACAGTTTAATTTTATAATTTAAAATTTATTGAGCGAAGCTCACTTTCTCTCACTTTGTAACTTCTTTGTAAGAGCATCAGAATGTAATGGCTAGACCAATTGATATGAAATTTGGCCAACAGCTAAAGAATACTGAGCACAATGTTTATGGTAAAAAATATTTGCAAATTTCCTTGTCGAATTTATTTTACGGGTCACACAATTTCGCTTGTTATTTTAATGTAAGTTGAAAGAAAAATTATATTGGGTTTATGACATATGGGTTTATCTCGTTTCATTTATATAAGATAAACATATGCTAATTGTTTGTAACTGTTTTGTTTACATTTCAATGTTTACTTTTATCCTAGGTTAAAGTTGGAATGTAACAGTTTTGCTATATTTGTTTTGAGCATGCCTCAAAGGAAACGTCGTAATATTGGTCGTCGCACCAATAATGCAAATATTGTAAGAGAGTGGCGTTGTGAACAAGAAGAACCAGATGAAGCAGTGGCGGAAGAAGCTGATAATGATAGGCAGTTAGCTAATCAATTCCAACATGAATTAGATGCACTAAAATTTTGCACTTGCACTAACTGTCATCGTCAACAACCAACAGCTTCAAACCAATCACCCATTTGTTCGCGTTGTCGTTCAAATGCAACTAAATTCACGGTGTTAAATAATATGGATGTGTCAAGTGACCCGAACGAATTAACTGACCAGCCGATTGTAGAACAAATGTTGATTGCACGAGTATATCCCGCTATGCGCATTTACAAAGTACAAGCAAATGGTCAGGATGGCCAGTTTCACTACAAAGGTAACATCATTAATGTTGAGCAAGATATTAATGAAATAGCATCTGTCTTACCTACACTGCCCGAAAATTTAAAAGTCATCATTGTCCAACGTCAAGGCGTCTTTGGCCATATCGATTTCAAAGTTCAACGTGAAAAACCACACCAAGCTTTTATTTGGCTGAAGGCAAATAACCCATTCTATTTTGACATAACCATTAGTGATGAAGCGCTACACCAACTACCAGTCAATGATTTTGTTCACATGAGAGTACTGTGTGTACGTGAAAACCAAGAAAGTCCTGATGAAATCGAAGAAGACCAAGTTGAAGAAACATCGGTGCCTATGATTGCGCAGTCTCGTCAAAGGGATCACGTTCAGAGACTAATGTGGCCGACCGGAACATCAGCACCCGTCAACGAATTCACTAGGGTTGGCTATATTCCAATGGCATTTCCTCATCTGTTTCCTTATGGAAAACCAGACTAGCCATTGACAATCTTTAAATAATGCGTCTAAAGTGTAATGACAGACCACCCTAGTTTTATAATTAAAAAGTTAATTTTATAACAAAAAATTATAAAATTAATTTAAATCTTTTCAACTTAGCGGTTCTAGCGGCGAACGCTGACACTATGTTAGCCATAATCTCTTCCGTGAGCCCCACCGATGCTGGCATCATCAGACACATCACAAAACTGAAGGTTATGTTTATGTTTAAAAATCTTACTAATATTATAAATGTGAAAGTTTGTGTGTTTCTTTGTTTGAAGTTCAATCACGCATAAACCACTGGACGGATTAGGCTGAAATTTGGCATGATGATAGCTCACATTCCCGATTAACATATAGGTATATTCTTATCTCAAAAATCCTTTCGGCCTCCGCCCCAGTGGCTCTGTAGTTCCCCATGTTAACCTTATGAGTATTCATATTTAAAGGGAATTAAAGAATTTGGTCAGCTGTTTCAACTAAAAGGTTTGGTTCTATGATACAAAAGCATTAAAAAGTTATAAGATTTACCAACCATATATTTTTACCAGCACTATATATTTTTTTTGCATTTATGTAAACAGCTAATTTGAACTAAGCAGCAACAAAAAACTGTGATACGCAATGAGAACTGTTAAAGAAGGATTGTTTACAGTTATGTTTATATTTTTAATGTCATGAATAATTATTAGTGTTTTTTTTTTGTGAATTCGTAATAACTTATTTTTCTGTTGTTTAGGTGAAGTGGTAGAACATTATGGCTATGGTAGATATGTAATACCATTAGTATACCGTCAATTTAAAGAAGCAAATTTTATCAAACTTTGTCCTCCCCCATTGCAAACGCAAAGCTTGAGTATAACTGCAATAAGCATTTTAAACTTATATGCCAACCCCGTACGAAGGACGGGTACTCTGAAGCAAAATACAAACCATAAAAACAATATCTCCGCCATCCTCTTGCACAGTCGGCCTGATTCTAGTGTCCAGGAGTTCCTTGATCATTTGAACTGTCTCATCGTCATCTTCATTTATTTCTGTAAATCACCCCAAGATAAATTTTAAAATATTTTAATTCATATTTAGGTTTAATTTATTAGGCTATTGGTCCTTTTGACTTATGTTTTGGAGAAGTTCTATTATAAATTTACAACATGGTAAGTAAAAAAATAAATCTGTGATCACATTTTAACATTGCTGCGATCACAAACAGATCAGAAAGTGGATGGGCTAAAATCTGCGCCATCTGGTCTAAGTGCTAATACTTACGAGTATCTGATGAAGGTTTTGCATCTGTCAAAACTGGCAAACCACTGGCAAAAAAATCCATGATTGTTGCAAAGATTTCTGGTTTTATAAGCTTCCATTCTACGTCTTCATCTATCTAGAACACAAAACATCAAGTAAATAATATTTGTTGAAATGCATATCAATCATCTAAGTTCATTGAATAGTTTTTGATGCTTTGAATGTAGTTTTATCAGTTGAAATAATTTGTGGTTTACAAGAAGAAAATAGCTTAAAAACATACAAATAAATACACTTTTCCTTACTAAGGGAAAGTTCCTTCATTATGGTAAACAATTTTGTCACTTTCATGCAAATACAAATAATACAATCGTCAACTGATTAACGTAGGCCTACCTATATAATTTTTTCATCAACAAATAAATATTCATCAAGTTTTTTGATACAGTTTTAATATTTCTGAGTAAACTTAGAATTTAGATGTAAGAACTATCCAATTTTTTTAGATTTAGATTTTTTTTTATGTTATAAAAGTGTTAAACAAAATCTACTTGTCACATATAATTTTTTCTTTTCTCTTATTTGTTATAACTTTCAGATTTTAGATGTCACCACTGTTTTGTTGTTATCATTATGAGTCACATTAACATTTTTTCTTCTCTTATTTGTTATAACTTTCATATTTATTACATCTTGAATTCTTTATATGTCACCACTGTTTTATTGTTATCATTGTTCAGTAAAGTTGTAGAATCTAACGTTATGAGTCAATTCCAATACCCAATACCAATTACCGATATGTCTGCGAAGATTGTGCAATTGGAAAATTGCCGCAATCACTAAAGACGACGATGACGGTGTATACTTGGCCACGGGACATGTTCATAATTTTGCCGCGACAGTGGAAGACGACGATGACTTTTCAGTGACTGCTGGTGACGATGACATTGTATAATACGGCAACGGGACATGTTCATGATTTTGTTGCGATAGCAGATGACTTTTCCATGACCAATTGTGACGATGTCTACATGGCTGTGGTGGATAATTTGAATTTTTCATAGATCGCAGAGATCGATGATTGTTGATTATGTCCACACAACCTTGAGAGATGACGTCCCCTACAAGGCCGCAGGATATGTTCATGATTAACAGAACATTGTATGTAGTCAATGATTATAGTAGAATTTACTTTTCGATTTCTTGTTGTTAAATCTTTATTTACCTTTGATATGGCAGTTATGTAATGGTGTGTTTGGAAGGTTTTAAACTTAAATTGGCAATTCAAATTTTTCATTGCTGCATTCATTTTCTCTTTAGGAAAACTTGAAATACAAGCATCACCTCAAAATACTTTATGAAGCTACATAAAGACAGGGGTTGCTTTAGAATAACCAATTCATTCAGAAAATTTAATAAAATTATTTTTTTTAAATGGTATTGGTACAGTTCAGCCAAAACTTCCGTGGATGGATCACTACTAGCCGAACTAAAACATACGAGTACCGTATTGGCAGTGCTGAGGTAGGGGTGAGTGAGTAGCAAGACACAAATATTTTCACAAAAGTACCCCCGCCAACCCCCTCGCCTAGACCCAACCAGATCTGGCCGCGCCCACAGAAACTTTGGCCGAATGTATCGGACATCGGCATTGGTTTCGAGAATCGATCAATTTTGGCATCTACACATCACTAATTTCAATCATACCTTAGTGACTGTTATGAAGTCAGGACCAAAAAAGACTGACTTGACTCCTTCAATTCGGAACAAAAGCTTAGCCAGAGGGGAGCAGTAGGCCTCTGTGCCGTTAGGGAAGTCTATGGTTTGTCCAGGGTCCAAAACCTGCAACACTTCATGGAGTCCAGATTAGCCCGTCAACAATGTTGCGGCATTCCAAATAAAAATAAAAAAAATGAACAAAAGAATGAAGTTATGATGACATCACACATCAACTCATTTCACAAGTATTAAACATTAGGCTATATAGTTAATCATACTTAACACTACTGCATATCGTTACTAAACATTCATGCCAAAAAAGTGTTATTGAATTATTTTCAACAGTGGGGATCACAAAACGGAATGATAAATCGTTAGGTACATTTTTAAGATCTTACATTGTTAAGTTTAAACTCCCTTGTGAACGTAGCTTTGGCCATCTTTATTTTTTTGAACCATTTGCATAAAACTCAGGTTTACTCTACACACCATACAAAATCTCTGATTAAGTTCTGCATTATTCCATTTGGGTTGCAGAAAACAAATAGATCTTGGCAATTCAACCTTAGTGAGACAATCAGAAATAGCAGCCTTCTTTATGTTACTGCAGTGCAACGTAAAGTCTGCTATGGTAAATGTGTGCCGTTTAGGAGTTAGCCAGTTGCTTGCGGGGAGTGCCGCGGGCAAAAGTAATACAACAAAATTGAAAAAATAGGTTGGATGTACATATTTTGGAAAGTTATGTATAACTGAATTTTGAATATTAGTTTATGTATTCATTGAACAAATAGGCCTACATATTATTTGAAACATATTACTTAATATATTTGCAACGTTTTCCCAAATTAAATACTTTATGAAAATGGAGTAGCTGGATTTGCTTGTATATACTACTTTTAGTTTAGTAATAATATTGAACCCCACTGTGGAGTTGAACGCCCTGAATTTTGTTGTTCAAAGGTTTATTGCGGACATTTTCCATCACGATTTTAAAAAACAATACACAACGTTTCGGGATCTGGAATCTGATCCCATTCTCAGGTGAAAAAAAACTTAACTAACACATTACAACTACCAATACACAAACGCCCAACCTAAGTTGGAATACACTACAGAGGGTAGCAGTCAAAAAATATGCACTCTATAGCAGTAAATTCATGATACAACATGCAAATAATAACCAATCACAAAACACTATAATTTATAAAAGGTGTAACGTAAAAAGCTCACACAATGGAACACTAATAGCACCGTTCGCAATGACTTCACCAATGAGACATCATCATACTATTATTTCCATGATAAAAAGGTTTGGGATCTAAATATAATTACCCTAGTAATAAATAAAGAGAAGTTGTAAAGGACTAAAAGTGATACAACTTTTATGAGCTAAGCTACTGAGTCACAGAGTTCTTAGAAGTACTTGACACTTTATTGTGTGATAAAATATTAAGGTTTGAGACTGCTAATGGGTTAATTATTGCAAAATTACTCTAGTAATAAATAATGAAAATGCAAACAAACATATGATAAACCTTTTAGGTGCTCCTAAACAACTATTGCCCAATAACGATGCCGACTTTTTATGCCCTCCTTAAAATGGCTCGTAAAACTATTTTAAAGGACATAGTCTGACAAGAACAATGGATACATTTCATGGCCAGTAAAAAATTAAGCGCAATTCCCGGATTTCCAGTTGGCAGACCCTGATTTAAGTAATTTAATCCCTGATTCCTGACTCTAGTTTTGTAAGGTAATTATATCCTTTAGGTGTCTGATGTTGGGAATTAAAACGCATATAGCGACGCAACCCGCCACACAACTTTGTATAACGAGAGCATCACTCATTATGTAAGGGGGGGAGCTAACAAAATCCCGCCCCGGGCGCCAATAAACCATGCGACGACCCTGATATCATCCCTAAATATTTTGAATTAGAGCAGAAATTCAAAATATGGGACAGAAACAGCAATCTTTTCAGTAATAGCAACTTACCTTAATGCCAGGCAAAAATTTCAAACTATTAGGGTTTGGCGTGTCTTGTGTTTGAATAAACATGTTCCTGACAAAAATCTGAAGGATATTAATCGGAGCCTTCTTGACTGGTATATTTGTGGGCCACTTGCTGCAAACTTGCATCAGGCCTCTGCCAAACAACCTAGACGAACAAACCAAGCCTATTAACCTAATACCCCTGCCGCAGCAAACCTGCCGACTAAGTGAATTTCCATTTGCCTGATTTGATTTTCAATTAAATCTTTTCAAATAACATTAGGTTTAATGAGTAACCAGATTTTCTGCCTACAGGGAGGGTAATTAAGTGTGTTTTCTAGTAAAATATTAATAGCTTAGTATAAAATAAATAGATTTTCAAGTTTGATCCAAATGTATCCATAATCAAGCAAACTACAATAGTTTACCAGTACTTATTCTCCATAAGAATAACAGAGGAATTTTTTTATAATTTTCTATTTAACATAACCCAAACTGTCTACATCAATTGTAACAATTGATAATCTGATGGGCAATTATTTAATATATCTACAATAGGATATTGTAGATACTTGCCTACTTTTACAGTTTTATTTCACGCTGAATGCAAAAATGCAATCAGTTTTTGTCCGAGAGATTCCTAAGTGGCTGTAAAACGAAGGTTAAAATTACAAATCTAAGGTTAATTTAGCGGTACTGATGGTAATATGGCGTGGTCTGGACGGGTCCGTATGTAGGCTGAGGACTGAGTGAGGAGAGCAAACAGCTGTTTATACTCAACTTAATGCGGAATTAAATCAGTTAGTTTTTAAACTAAATTATCAGCTCTTATTCAGGCATGTGGGGAAAGTAGGTCTTTGTGGCTGTATTAAGTGTTTTTAAGTTAGGTTAGATTAGGAAGGTAAAGTTTACGGTATAATGAACCGACTTATTAATTTACGTTAGGCCTCCAGACTGTTTTTGCACAATTGAAATAGTGGGTGAAACACAATAAAATAACAAAATTTCAAACATCAATAGAGTTTATCACAAACCTTCCTCCCCTTTCCGTGTAAGTGGCTGCTAGAACTTGGACTCGTCCAAACCACAAATAGGCTAGGCTAACGAATAACTCAACGAAACTGAAGCTCAATATTAATTATTTAACTGTACAGCCTCTTAGGAACCTCTCCGACATAAACCATCGATGTATAATAACTCCCTGGATTGCGCGCTCAGGTTGAAGTAGGGCTCGAAAAACGGTCCGTCGCTACCTCGCTCTGTCCGCGAGGAGTGGGGATAAAGGCATGAGTCACCCTAGTGGCGAGCGTCGCGCCCGCTCTCGCCGTGTATTGCTATGTTAGTTTTGTGGAAATATTCCGAGGATAATTGATTGTAACAAACTTAAGATTTTATAAGCAGATATAATTAATCTACGTACTTGCTCACACTTTATAGACTATGTGTCAAAAGTAAATCTCATAAGAAATGTAGAGGTGATATAAAAGAGTTAGATTTATTCATATTTGAACAACCAGAGCAAAGTATATCACAATAATTATTTCATCACATATGTATGTCATCATTTGCTTCGGTGAGGCCCATTTATTATTGAGAGACTTAGCATAATTTAAGAATATATATATATTGTTTATATTATAGTATGTTTCTTTGTCATACTGTGATTAACGTGTTTGGAAAACATATTATGTTGCTAAATAAAATGAGTGTATATTAGCCTATTTAATGCAAATATCTCAAATGTATTCATTATTCTCACTGAAGTAAAATAATGACAAAATATTTTCTTAGGTATTAAATACTGCTGTGGAATCCAACATTTATTCTTTGATTCAAAGAATTTTGTTAACTATAGACTACCGGTAAACATTAAAATACATAAAAATACACCTGTAAATTTAGTTACATTCTTCGTAATGTAATGCCATATTTGATGTAATATAATGATAAAATGCTAGAAACTCGGTTTCCATATCCCGTAAACTGATGCTGAGCCGGCCGAGCTCCTAGCGCCGATGCCGTGCCAAGCGATTTTATGCCTATTTTTAATCGCTTAAAAATGATACAAGCAGGCTCCGTATAAAAAAAAGCTTCTAATAAATAAAAGCTTATAATAAAAAATAAAATTCATACTTTGATCTAAAACATTGCCGCAGGAATTTTTTTCCTGACCAAAATATAAAAAAGTTCCTCGCTTACTACATTTTTCATGTTTTTAATGGTGTTAAAAAACAATCATCTTTTTTAATTTGCCTAAATAAATCATAAAAAATATGTTAACCCTCCGAGGGTCACGCGTCAAAAAATAGACGCACAACACACTTTGTGTAGGGTCACGCGTCGAGTTTAAGACGCACAAACATCGTTTACGGCGAAGGCTCTATGACTGACTGAATCGGATTGAACTGGATCGAGTTAGGTATCGTTCTTTCCGTAATATTCTAAGCTTTCTCCAGAGGTCTGTCTCTAAGCGCTATTCATTTTAGTTCCGAAAATATTGTAGCAGACAGCTGACGTGCGTGTATTTGTAAACAGCTAGGTTCCCCCGGACCGATGACTGATGTGTTTTATTACGTTTATCATTGTTTTAGTGTTAAAAATCAAAAGTAGTGATATACGTGGTGCATTATAAGAAGATTTAAGTGGTTTTGAAGTGCTGGTTGATGATCCTGAAGAAGTAGGTAGTGATATTGATGTAAATTATCAGCCAGATTCCTAGCTATGGTTAGGCTATGCATTCTTAGCTAAACGCTATGTACTGAAATCCGTTTTTCGCTCATAACTTATTTATTTGATAACTTACCTCGCTATATGATTATATATTTGTAATCCTCATTAAATTTAGAACAAAGTGGCTATTTTCAAATATTTATAGGCCTATAATTTATACAATTTCATTGAGCGCGAACTTATATTTTTTTTGAAAATTTTCGAAATTATATTTTTTTTACCTAAAAATTTTTTTTTGAAAAAATGTTCCTTATGTTTTATATATAATATTGAAGCCCATGATTTTCCAAACAAAATGGTATATAGAACATTAGAATTAACATTGTTTTAAGCTTCTCAGATCCGTTTTAATAAAACCTTGCAAAGGGGCCAAAAATAGGTGGACATTAAGGCCTAAACTATGGACACTCGGAGGGTTAATGTAAAAACTAGCTACATAGTAATAAGCACTGGTTTTTCCAGAAAAATAATATATCAATTTGAAATTTTTATGTTAACAAACAAGTGTAGCAGAGCAGGTTGAATGAATGTGTTTGTGTAAAACAGAGAGGTTCATTTGGCCCGTCGGCCCGGTATCCCGCCAATTCGATTGGCGGGCACGGACCGTTTTTCCACCACCTAGCGCGCTATCCAGTAGAGTTATTATACATCGATGACAAAAACTGATTGCATTTTTGGATTCAGCGTGAGAAAAAACTGTAAGTAAGTTAGACATCTAGTGGACATATTCAATAATAAGACCTAACTTACCATATGATGATGTCAAAGATCAAAGTTCTGCCCTAAGTGTTTTGCACTATAATAATATTGACTTTGACTTGGGTAGGCCTAAGTGAACTTGGTCAAGACTCAGTTCTAGGGATGTTGCAATACATATTTGGTATCGATACCGTATCGCAAAAAAGTATCGATACCGGCTCAGTATCGGAACTAAAGTATCGATACCGTCAGTATAAAATCCATTTGATACCAGTGACGTCATATTCTCATTCACTGATCTTTGATTAAAGTTCACTCGCTCCAGTACAGTAAGTAGGCTACAGCCAATACTTAGCCTATAGGATTTGACCTGCTAAGAACTATTTTACTTAGCTAATTATGTAAAAAAGTTGATAACAATTAACCAAACATAGCCAACCTTTATTTTCAATTTTACCTTCTTAAGTAAAAGTAAAGTACCTTATGTTCTAGGCCTATTATATAGCCTAATTTATCTTTTTGGTCACTGTTGCTCCAGCCTTGGAATATAACCGCTCAGAAGGCACGAGCTGGGCCGTTTGGCTCAGATATTTCCTTCCGATACTGGCCTCTTGGTATCAATACCAAATAAATATCGGAACAACCAATACCGATACGATACCAGCAGTATGACAATAAAAGTATCGGGTATCGCAACATTCCTACTCAACTCAGTTCTACTTCTGTAGGCTACCGTATAGGTTGTCTATGCTAAAGTATGTAACTTATGCTATGTTTGGCTAAACTGGGGATAGGGTACATACTAAAGTGCATGGTACTTACTGTACATTCATCTTTGCTGCTAGAGATTTAGCAGCAAACATTATGGAATTAAGGCTGCAATATTGTGTCAACAACAATGATGTAGTTTCAAGTTTCACTGGTTTCAGTCAGCACTCAGGGTTGCCGTTGGGTGGGTTGACTTGACGTTGACGGATAGCGGTTTAGTTGAGTTGGTTTATGTTTTTTTGTTGATCGTGATCACTCATCATACCTCGTTGCCTTGCCTAATGCATTCCTTCTAATGTAATCCTTGTCTTGGTCTTGTGCCCTTGATCTTGTTATCGTCTCCTGCAACTCGTTCTATTCTTGTTTGTTTTAAGGTTAGCAAAACAAGAAACAAGAATAAACAAATTTAGGGGTCTGACTTAGGGGAGGTACGAATGAGGCATTTAGTTCAAAATTCCTCCGTGAACAGCGCTGTAGAAGAGAGCACTTTGGCAATGAAGGTTTACTAATCGCAAAAATAGTTCTGTTCATAAAATAAAATTATAAATGTCTCAAATTCAATTTTATTATTTTTTAAATATAAAATCATAACCTAACCGAACTAACCAAACTTGCTGATAAAGAAATATTATAACAAAAGTTTAGTAATCGGAAAAATAATTCTGTTTATTTTTTAAACTAGAATTTGCTCAATTAAAATTTTATAATGACTTAATAATAAAATTAAACTGTAATAACCGAACCAAACCAACCAAACTTGCTGATAATAAAAAAATCTTGGACAAAAAGTTAATGATACCAGCAGGATTCGAACCCGGGACCTACAGTATATCAGCCCGGCACACTAACCATTAGACCACCGAGGCCGTTGGCTACCGACCGTTTTGTTACGGTAATGTCGTTCCCTCAGCTAACAAGAAGCCCACAGCTGTCATCGTAGCCTCTTCTATACCTCCCCTGAGTAAATACCCAAATGGAGGGTTTTTTTCTTCTTCTTCTTCTTCTTTTTTTAGGTTGGCTTAAAAAAAAGCTGGCTTGGTTGAATTAGGCTACCATCATTGACTATATACCTATAGTAGGTATAGTCGAGTCAGTCAGTCAGTGTCACAGCCTTCTGTCTTCTGTCGTTCTGTCCTCAGTCAGTCTCAGTACCGTACTACTGACTCACTGACTTAGTATAGTATTCTGATTCAGAGTGCTGTCCGCTGTTCTGTCACTTTGTAAACTGTAACCCGTAACCCAACCCTTAAACCTTAAACCTTACCTAACCAGTAAAATCAAATTACGCAACAAGAACGAAGTGGAAGTTCAAAAGAAAGCAAAATTCGAAAGTTAAACAAGCAACTAACATTGATTTAGATCCAAAAGAATAAGCATTCTTCTGCAACCAAGTCAAATAGGCTAGAGCTCAGTTAAAGGTAAGGTTAAATAATTTGTAGACAATGAGTACCAATGATCGATTCAGAACAGAAGGTGTTTTACCACAGAGCACCATAATATATAACTTATTATTAATCTTGATACAAATTATACAGCTACAGATTTGGCTTGATTCTGATGGATATTATTCTCTTGATAGGGTTGTGAGAGTTAGAGGTAGGCCTAATTATTGCGACAAGGGTGACCAAGAGTACAATAGTAATTTATATATCATTAGAAACTAGATTACCACCAGGGTTATTGTTCAGTTTCCACAACTCACCTAAAACACACTTAAAAACATTCTTAAACTGTTCTTTGACATCAATACTACAACTCGCTTAAATAACTTTTTTGTCGCCGAGGCTTCCTTTAATAACTACAATCGGTTTTATACCAGCAATAATTCCTACTCACTAGGGGGTAGAGTGGGAATTCGGGGTTTTGGGTGGGGAGAACTCTCGCTTAAACATCGAGACAACTGGCTAATTTAACTCGCTAAAACATCGAGACAACAGGCTAATTATTTAACTCGCTAAAACATCGAGACAACAGCGTAATTTTTATCAGCCATAATTCCTACTCTCTAGGGGACAGAGTGGGAATTCAGGGTTTGGGTGGGGGGAAAAAGTCGCTTAAAAATCAAGACAAAAGGGTAATTTCATGGGAAGATGGGTAATTTGTACAACAAATATGGGATTTTTTAAAATTATGCGGGATAAAATATCTAAAACGGGGTAAAAATGAAAATTACTGGGGATAAAAATCTTCATTTCAGGGATTTTATGCACATATCAGGGATAAATGGCAGGTACCAACCACGATAAGGAGGATCCATTTTGTTTATAAATTATTAATCTTTGTTTACAAGTTTGACTTGAGCTATACTTGACAAAATTATCTCAATATCAAAATACCACAGAAATGACAAGGTCTTGCAAAAGTCAATGCCATTTATCAATTATTTATTATTTATACCAATTATCAATGCCCGAGCAGTAAATAAAATGCTACTGATATCGCTTACGTTCTGCAGACGACTCGTCCATCTGGCCAACGGTTGGTGGCCAACCTGTACTTTGTAATTCTTATTTTTTCTGTTGTTGTGATACATTCTTACGTGTATCTATTTAAGCCTAAAACAACCTCGGATAACCCGAGGGCTCCGATAACCAGGGCTCAGATAATCGAGAGTGCACTGTATACGTACTTGTTGAACTGTTGTTGTTTACTGAACAAATTCTGACTAAATAGGCCCTACTTTCAATTTTATTTCACAAAATATTAACTTATATTGTTAAATAATTACTGAAAAATTATAGAATTAAATATAGATTTTCCAGATATTGTCCTCAAAACTTGAGAGAGGAGTCTAAACAGTCTATTTCTGATCTAGGATTTGTAGCGAGGTATTAAAAGGATGGTTCTGATTTCAAGAGCTGCCAATTTTTTAATCATGAACAAAAGATTTTTACTTAGTAAGTGTACAAATATTTGATAACTTATGCATGGTTTCAATTTAATTTTCTTAACTCATTAAATAAGTGAATGTAGAAAATATCAAATAAGACTGTGAAAATTATTCATACGATTGATTTAGTCTTAAACTGAGGATTTACCCTTAAAGATAATAATATGTACCTACTTTAGAACAAAACTCAAATGAATTAAATAGGCTTTACATGTCAAGATACCCACCCAGACCATACCTTAACTAACCTCATAAGTTTTAGAAAAACAAACTTAGCAATTTAGTTTTATGACAATTTTTAGGTGGAATCCAGCACTTTGTGTCATGCACATTCACCCTATTTTATTTCCGATAGTATCAGTTTTATTGATTGGTGAGTGGACCGCCCCAGCATACCCTAACCTTTCATTTGCTTTTAATCCCAATAAATTATTAGTTTTTTAATGCAACAATTTATCTTTCCCTAGAGTCTTGATTATCCGACATAAACCAGTCACATCGAGGTTGGATAGTAGGCCTACTGTTAAAAAACCCCACACATATTAAAACACTTGAAATTTATTACACTTGAGCTTCACAGTTTGTCTAACCTATCCAAGCCTTTTAGGTTTTTTCATTAACACCTTTGATTTGTTTCTTTTCAAGGCTATCACCAACACAAATTGACATAAGTTAGTAAATCACAAATAATTGTCTGGGTATCATGTGGTTAGTGCCTCCCTTCAAATATATAGTACGCTGATTAGATTCCAAGTGATAACGATTCCGGACCCAGACACCATTTGTCATTGGGCTATCCATTAATTATGCTATCTAAAAAAAATGTGTTAGATAAAAACTAGGTTTGGACAGTTCCCTTAAAAAAAATGCCAAATGCCAAAGCCGTAGGCCTAAATACACACACACACTACTAGGCCTTTCATTGTATGTGAAATTTCTGATAAAGTGACACTAAGCTAATAAAGCAGAGAAATGTAAAGGTAAAAGGAGTTAATGAAGTGTGTGGCATAAAGTACGCTAAAAAATCAGAAAATACTATCGGGTTTAGGCCCTTAAAGCCTAGTTGATTTCTTCAGAGTAGAGAGAGGGTCAGCAAAAGAGTTGACTCTATGGTGTAGAGTGAAATGGAAACTCCACGCAAATTCAAAGTGCTCTAAGTCTCCAGGGAGGGTCGGAAAACACTGAAGGTTGTATAAGACGGATGTTGGATGACCAAAGATTGGATAATCAAGACTTTGCTGTATATTGTTAATATGCTTCGTTATCTTAAGTAGAGTAGAATGCATGTGGTTGAACATTTTAACTTTCTGACCTCTTACACCAAGTCCACCGACTATTAGTCTATTTAACGAATTTTACATTCTCAATAGCTTAGTTCATCAACTTGTTGTAAATTTACATATCAACTAAATAGCTTTTAAAAAGTTGGTTATGAACTTAAGTTTTTTTGTATGACTCTGCTAACAGGATGTTTTAAATGATCCAAATTAATGCCAAATAGAGTAGCAGACTTTGGTTATTATTTATATTATATTAGATAATCTTGACACTTGCTCACCATAACATTGGAGAAGGTTGAGTGGTGAATGGATGAGATGAGTCAGATTGGCTAATTAATTTCTTGAAAGCTTAATGGTTTAGGACAATTTGATATACAGGGTGCGGAAAAAAACAATTTATTTTCTGCAGTGCATTGTTCAGCGATAGGTTGTCTGAGAGTGTTAGGGTTAGGCTCGTTGGAAAGCCTACACTATGCCATTAGGCCTATCTGTGTTCATAGAACATTGGTCACCTGAGCAACGTGCGCTTGTTGTAGATTCAAATGTACAAGGTAATGATTCAGTCATTGCAACTCAGCAGTAGTTCCGTGCATTCTAGGGCAACGTGGATTCTGTCAAGTAGCACAATCATGTGGTGGGTCACTAAGAGCAACGGCTTCTGCGTTAAAAAAAAAGCTGACAAGCAGTCTAAAGTCAGATCGGACGCCAGACAACTAACATTCAAAAGAGTTTGTGCTGGAAAGCAGCCCCCGAGGCCCGTCCAAAAACCAGCGTCTGCTTTGAATATTTCTGACTGCTCATTTACACAAATTTTGAGGTCTGATCTTAATTCTTATACATACAGATTTTGTATTAATCTGTTTAATTTTGTTGATAATCCATACAAATAATCACGACGGAACATCTCCATGTCGACCTAATTTAAAGAATGCATGGAAATGCTGATGTGTTGCAATAACTGAATCATAACTTTTTTGAAATGACTCTATAACAGACGCACGTTGCTCAGGTGACCAATGTTCTATGACCACAGATAATGGCATAGTGTAGGCTTTCCAACGAGCCTAACCCCAACACTCTCAGACGACCTGTCGCTGAACAGTACGCTGCAGAAAATAGTTTTTTTCGCACCCTGTAGTTTCAAGCCATCTAAAAGCTACTGCCATTAAAACGGATTGAACTGACAACCCTCTGATCACAAGATGAGTAGCCCTATATATCCTCATCTACTAACATATACAGTGTAATTGAAAAATCCTGGAAGGGTGTAATTTATTTTTTACCATTATGGATAAAGTAATAAAACTTGGTATATCAATAATAACCATAATTGTCTACTCTCTCAAGCTATTATTACTTTTTTTTACCTCTTAAGGGGAATGGCCCAAGACGAGTAAGACAAAATTCTCAAATAGTAGTATAGGTCAAGTTTGGTATCAAATTAAAGGTCTCCGCTTGTTAACACGTTCGCTACTGCAATAGTACAAAATTTTCCATTCACATGGACCAGCGACGCACATATGCGACGGCCGGTTTCTACCCATAGACTGCCGTCGCATATATGCGACGGCTAGTCACATTAAAATAGACTGCCGACGCATATTTGCGTCGGGGTTCTAATGTTATTAAAATGCTTATATCTTTGTAGTGGTCTATTTGAAGGCACTGAATTCCCTGCAGTGGTCTACAGAGATGTCTGACGCACAACTGCGTCGCTTGGTCTGTGGGTATGATGATTGGTGACGTCATATGATAGTAGGAAAAACTGGTCTTTACTTTTATGCATCACTGTATGTATGTATGCAGTATGTATGCTGCATTATCCTATGTAGCTTTTATATTTGTTCAGTTATAAACTGTTCTTGAATAATCTGTTTATTTTTTTACTTACTTTCACCTTAAAACACAAAAAATGAGCCGTCGCATATATGCGACGTTTAGTCTATTTCAAGAAAACTATGATAATTTTCACTATTGTTTTCACTGTAGACCGGGCGTCGCAAATATGCGACATTACAAAAGGTTATAAAAAATACAAAAAAACAAGAACAATTTATTTACAAACACTATTGTAGCGTATTACAATGTAAATTTTCACTGTTTTACAGGTTTTCGCCCGTGGTCTGTGTGTACTATTATCCAAGTGACAGCCGGTCTATGTGTAAGATTGAAATGTATACCTCGGTCTGTGGCAATGACTGCGGCGTCGCATATATGCGACGCTCAGTAGCGAACGTGTTAAACACATAGCCGCAACCCCCAACTCAAACAGACATCTTAGTAAAAAATGGCAGCCATTCAAATATTTCTTGAATCTGTCATTTTGAATCTTTGAACGGCTGCCATTTTTTACCTAGCTGTTAATTTGAGCTCAAAATTGCAGCATTATATTCTGCTAATAAAGACCTTCAGTGTGATGTGCATATCGACCTACGCTTAACGTTTATGATTTTCTTCCGACTTCCTAGTACGCGGAAGTATTTGCATGTATTATAATAGAATCTTTGAACAGTTGTCATTTTTGACTCCATTGTCCGTTTGAGTTCGTGTTTGTGGCATTGTGTTTACCAAAAGAGACCTAAAATGTGATACCAAAGTCGACCTATGCTGCTATTTGAGAAATTTGTCTGAATCTTCGTGGGCGTCCTCCTTTAGGGATAAAAAAGTAATAATAACTTAAAAGAGTAGACATTTATGGCTATAATTGATTTACCAAGTTTCATTCCCTTATCTAAAATAGTAACCGTCTATTAAGTTATAGTATCTGTAATAGTACCGTTCCGAGACTTTTCAATCACACTGTATATACAAGGTCCTATAGAGGATGATCAACTCAAGTTGGGATATCGGGATCGGTAAGAGTTAGAAAAAAACTTTAAATGGGGGACATTCCTTTATTTTTTGTGGCAGTTAAAAATATGAATTTAGTTTTTGAAATTCAGCCGCCATTCTTGACTTTTTTTTATAAACCCACTCGTTTAGGAGTTACAGCCTTTGAAAAAATTACATAAAATACACAGTTTTCCACTTTTCAAGTTTGCAGCCATTTTGTTTCCAGTTTGTGTGTAAAATCTTTGCGTTAAGCTGATGGTCTTAATTGGAACTCGCAACAGTTTTTCCCAGTCTGCCTTGAGCAGATGGTGTTGGCTGGCATACTCTAGGGCTTCTGTGTTTTGCGATGTTGATATGTGTGACCCTCAGTGTGTATTTGTAAGCGTGTATTTTCTTCATTTTTGATTTATTTTTCCTTCCTGTAAATAAAAGACAAGTTTGTGTAGAGTTTATTTAGTTAGGTATTCACTTTGACCATTAATACAACGTCAGTTGACCGTAAGTTTTAATTAAGTTACCGTCTTCTTTTGTGGTTATTATGCAGTTTATGTTTCTGTAGCTCACATTAAGTTTAAGAAAGGTGGCTTTAGCATTTCCTGATGGTTTAGATTCAATTAAAAACTTCTTTCTTCAATTATATACACTTTCAAGAATACCTGAATTGATACATTGAATTGATTGTTACATTAAATTTTCCATAACATATTTTAAACAATCAAATAATCTTCAAATTAATTTTCATTCTTAGTTTTGAAGGGAAGAAAATATTAAATATACCACATTGGATGTGCAATGTTTTGGCTTTTCATATTATTGAAGGTAGTTTTTGTCTTTGAATGTTATTTTAGATTGTCGTCAGTAGGTACATACAGGCAATGTACTGGTTATCAAAGCAACCGAGTTTTAATAGTCCACCATTTGAGTTGTAATTAAAATTAACACCCATGGTGTAGTGTTCTGTGCAACCTGTGCAGAATTCTTTATGGGTTTGCATGAAATCTGGACTAATTGGTTTTTGTGTGCCGAGTTTGTGCAGCTTTACTGAACTCACATTATTATTACTTTTGGACACTTTTCCTTTCAGGACGAAAATGGCAAAAAGTAGAGACAGAGAAGTAGTGGTGGTGAATCAACGAGATAAAACAAAAACTTACTAAATTAAACGTAAGATGTGTAAACATAAACCTTATCAATTGGCAGCTACAGTTACAGTAAATGTGTTTGATTTTTCAGTCGTAGTTTGATGGGTTTAGGTGGTAGCCGAGCAGTCAACATGAGTGGTCCAGTCGCAGAGTTTGTCAACACCAAGATCAGCAGTGATACTGTGGTCATTTTCTCCAAGTCATATTGTCCTTACTGTCGCATGGCCAAAGAGGTTAGTATGCAGAATCATATGTATTTTTATATTTCTCTATCTCTAGCTGGTGTACATAGAGTATAACGTTAGAACACAACACAAACTAAGCAAAACCAGCTTCAAGCTACAGCGTATGATTAGTTATAATCATATTCATAGGCTTATAGCATAGCCTTCTCTAGTACACAAGGCCGCGGCGAGCGAAAACTGGCATTGTTGCATCTGAGTCTTGGCGCACAGTTGTCTTACCATTCCAGTGAATGGAGGAGTTGCGTACCGACTTACTTATTTGCGGTTTTACTACCTTTAATCATTAGTAATGGCATTAAACTTGTTACTACAGCATGCCAGTGTTTTAGGATTCCAAGTGATCCGCCGCGTAAGCAACAATGGCGTCCGCGGTCAGATTGGACACCTTCAAACAAATGTTGCGTATGTGTAAAACATTTTCACGAAGATGACCTTTTTTTTGTAGAAAAATATAGAACTAAATACTGTTAATAATGTTCTATGAAATGGCGACCATACAAAGTAGATATTTTAAGCCAAGTATGAATGGAGATGAGTGTAGGATGAGTGGCGCGATCTTGTAGTCTTGTTAGTGACTAAGGTCGACATTCCTTGGACACAGCTTTTAATTAATAGCCCATACAGCAAATGGAAAATAAGGGACCTACAGTTTATAGTGGAATCCGAACCACATTTTTGCCTTGGTAATTACGAATTATCGTCTAATTATCAGGATAGTACTGCGGATAGTCGTAGTACTCACCCGTTCGGACGTTAATCCTCACCAGGGAGTATCGCATCCACAGTGCATGCCTATAAATATCCACAATTCGTGACCTCCTAGTAGCTGGATTACAGGACGACGCCACCCGTCCCAGTCAATGATTGGAGTAAATATAGACGCGAGAAGCCAGTTATAGGTGACTATTCCAGACAATTTCCTAATTTACCTTCGTATGTTGGTAATAAACACTTAGACTTAGACTTAGACTTGTTGTCGAAGGTGCCGAAACACCCCGACGCCTAACCCGGTACCTTACAAATATGACCCGGGCCCATGATATCAGCCAGAGCCTTAGCACCAGCCTTCGAGACACCATGGATGGATGACTTAAGGCACAGAAAACGTACTACTATAACCCAGAATGCCAACCGCATGGTAAAAAGCATTAAGCGGTTTGAGAGAGCTTTGCCTGTCAATCCGTGGGCAGCGCCACCAGCGTTGCCATGCAATAGCATAGCAACGCTGGTGGCGCTGCCTACGATTGACAGGCAAAGCTCTCTCAAACCGTTTAATGCTTTTTACCATGCGGTTGGCATTCTGGGTTATAGTAGTACGTTTTCTGTGCTTAAGGCCATCAAGGTCACCGGCTGCCGAAGCAACCCTTCGGAAAGAGGGTTACCCCTCAATCCTAACCAGGGATACCGGTTACTTGGTCGCACGTACACTCCAAAATAGGTTGCCCTGGGATGAAACCCGGAGGAACCATAATGGAGTACCCTGTACGCAACACAGTGCAAGCAGCACCTGGGACCTATCTAATCCCTGACTGTCCCCGTGAGCTTACAGGTACAGCCGTATGGTAGGTGAGAGGTGCTGCACGGAGGAGCCACTCTGAGAGCTAAACACCCCACCATCCTGGATGGAGGGATGTCACTGGGTACTCTCCCCGTAGGGGCTGGCTTTCCAGTCGTCCATAACTGTGGCCTTACCTGAAGTGCCGGTTCAAATACCGGGCAATTACCTCCCCTCTGGGGGCGGTAATAAACACTGCTGCTAAGCGAACAAAATAACATAACCCTTCACGGACGGCTGACGGATATATCCGCCTAAGTCTTTGGCGATAAAAAAGGACGGGTGGCGGATATATCCACCTATGGTTTTTGATGTTCCGGACGGGAAGCGGATGTATCCGCCTTCTCTTCAGGCAGACTGTCAGGTGCTTGAGCAGTAACCAGATGTTTCGTGGTACCAAGGCGCCACTTTCCTGCTCTCTCCATGGCTGAGCTCTCTCCCGCACCCCACCCTCTCTCCCGCGCCTACCCTCTCCTGCTCCTCCCCTATCCCACGCACCTCCCTTCTCTCCTACGCTCCCCCCTCGATGTTTTGCGCTCAACACTACGTTGTCTTTATTTATTGCCTAACGTCATAGTCATATCTTCAAAGACGGGTGGCGGATATATCCGATGCTTTTCTACTCATCCGTGGACAGGTAGCAGATATATCCGCATAGTTAAAAACGAGTAAAAAATTATTTTGATTGTATGAAGTGTTCTATTGTGTTTATTTTATGTAGGTATACTTGTATAACAAAACGCAAATAAGGAAAATAATTTTTTCTCCTATAATTTTTTCCTGTTCTATTTCAAGATTTTGCAAGTTTTTTTTTTTTTTTTTTTTTTTAGACAAATTGTTCTATGTTGTATTTTTTCACTATATAAATATGCAACCTTGATTTTTCTAATTGTCTATTTCACTATACCCTAAAATCCACTAATATGTCATTTACATACTTTCATTCATTGATACAGAGCGCCGAAAACAGCAATACTCTCATTGATGTTAATATTCTAGCGTGTGTGAAGCCGGACCCAGGCGGGGGTGATTGCAGCATTGCCAGTTTGAACGCAGCCTTGTGTATTAGAGGTGTCTATGCTTATTTATAGTCATCCAAGCTATGGCCAGGAGTAGCTTCCTTATACAATATAGAACATAGAGATGAAAAACGTAGAATACAATTTTATGTCCCAGGATAAGCATTGACTAATCAGTAATCATGTTAGATATTTGTTTATGATGGCCCATTTTCAGAAAAAAATCACCTCCGAAACATTAAGTTTCCAAATACAAAAAGAAGTCATGAATTGCTTTTGTATACTTTTTAACGTTTTCTGCATATTACAATGGATGCTCTATTACGTACCTTATTTAAATTTTTTTAACATACTTGATATTTTTATTATTCTATTTTGTTCCTCATTATCAAATATGCACAATTCACACCATTCCCATCTCATGTTTAGGATTTATTTAGTTCTTCATTACATTATATATCAATTAATCAAACAAATTTCCTGAATTTTTTTGCCTGAAAAGACTTGTAATGCAATTGTTTATCATAAGTACAATGTTTAAGGTAATGAATCACACTGAAACAAACATTTGTTTTAGTCTACTAAACGGAGAAATGACCTCTAGGCCCCACATGTGTCTGATTGCGTTTCAAAGTCAGTGTGTGTTAAGAGAACTGGAGTGAATTATATAAAATACTAGCAGAGTACCCGTCCTTCGTACGGGATTGGCATATAAGTATAAATGCTTATTGCAGTTATACTCGAGCTTTGCATTTGCAATGTGGGAGGACACAATTTGATAAAATTTGCTTCTTTAAATTTACTATATACTATAGTATTACACATCTACCATAGCCATAATATTCTAACACTTCGCATAAACAATAGAGAAAAAATAATTTTAAAGATTCGCAAAATATCACAAATGAGCAAAAAAAAGTAATAGTGCTGCACCCTTTTGATAAATCTTATAACTTTTAATGTTCTTGCATACCATAGAACCAACTGTTTAAGTTGAAACAGCTGACTAAATTCTTTTATTCCCTTTAAATATGAATACTCATAAGGCTAACATGGGGAACCACAGAGCCACTGGGGCGGAGCCCAAAACAATTTTTGAGATAAGAATATGCCTATATGTTAATCGGGAATGTTAGCTATAATCATGCCAAATTTGAGCCCAATCCGTCCAGTAGGTAATGCGTGATTGAACTTCATACAAACACACAAACTTTCACATTTATAATATTAGTAAGAATAAATGGTAAACAAACAGACAAAGTTTAATGTTTTGACGTATCCATTGCTTTTCCAGGTGTTTGACAAACTTAAACTGAAATACACAGTGATTGAGTTGGATGAGCGAGACGATGGAGGTGAAGTGCAAGACGTGCTTGGGGAAATGACTGGAGCAAGATCGGTAAGGCAAAAACTACATTTTGTTGTATATCCAATTAAAATTCTTTTGCTTCATAAATACTTCTAAAAGTAATAGCCTAGTTGACTTTATAGTCTGTCATTAATCTGGACCCCATCGTCTATAGGCCTATAGCCTATATAATACGCTAAGCTAATTTTTGTTAACAGAACTCCTCCCTTATTTTTAGACCGATTTTGATTATTAAAGATGTCATAAAATGACCCTGATTTGTAGTTTTGCAAAGTGGTTTTCATTTTATCAAATCTTTACTAGTTTGGGCAGGATCTTCCGTCAAAGTTGGTTTTTCTCCCATAAGGTTAACATGGAAGAATCTATTTATTTAATTGTAGGGATGGACGAGATTGGATTTTTAGTTCGAGACGAGACGAGACGAGATTTTTTATTTCTCATAAAATTTCGAGACGAGATGGAGACGAGATTTCTCTTCTCATACACAACGGGAAATGCACGTTCGAAATTTTTACCTGATTTTGTAACATTGTTAGATGACTGTTTAAATACTAAAATAATGATAATAGGCAAGAATATTTACAATCTTTCATTAAATAACATCAGCATAACATTTTTTTATTAATCACGCCTAACTTATTAAAAATGCCTACGATTAGGAAACATGGTGATATCAGTTAGGATAGAGTTCAACTTATCCTAAAATAAAATAAATCATAAAATAAAAGCAATATTAATTTTTATAAAATAGTTACTTGTTTTGACTTTTTTTATAGTAATAAAACATTCCTCACACTGCTTACACTTAACAAAACTTCTCAAATGTTATTAAAGTAATATTATTAAAATAATGAAAGTAATACTTACATTAAAAGAATTAAAGTAATATTTACATTAAAAGAATTAATTAAATAAGAACGCCTTCGAAAAGGAAACGCAACTACAACACGCTCCTGTATTGCGGGTATTGCATTGACTCATTGACTTTCTGCAGGCGTTTTTAATTTTTTTTTTTTTTTTTTTTTTTTTTTTTATTCTCGTCTCGATAAAAATCTCGGCCAAAAAGTAATCTCGTCTTGTGTAACGAGATTGAAAATTTCCCGAAATTTCGAGACTTGACCATCCCTATTTAATTGAAAACTTGTGCTATGGCCGACATCTTGTAAAATGGAAAATGGTTGATTTTCACTTTTTTGCCCATATTTCACTTATCATTGGAAATATAGAAATCTTGTTCAAACAAAAGTTAAAGAACACACACAAATACATCTTTTACTCATTTACATGTTTGCCCTATCTCTAAAACATACATAAGGTTTAACGAGTACCTAGGTTTGCTGCTACGGGGAGGGTAATAAAGTGTGTTTTTAGTAGAATATTTATAGCTTAGTATAAAATTAATAAATTTACCAAGTTTGATCAAAATATATCCATAAACAAGCAAACTGCAATACTTTTCAATATTCTCCATAAGAATAACATAAGGATTTTAAATTTACAGTTTTTTGAATTTTCTCCACAACCAATAAGCCTACGAGATATTGGAAAATTTAGTCTTTTGGGAGTAAAAAATGAGAAAACCCAATTTTTACCCCATAAAAGCCCCCATTAAACCCTGTTGCCATGGTCCGGCATGCTGGTTCGCAGAACTCATTCAAGGTTATTCCGCTGTACCACCTTCAAGCCAAATGTAATAAAAATCAGACAAACATTACTCAAGTTATCGTGTTCACGGACACACACGCATATAAATATATATATATATCAAACAAAATTAATGTTTTTTTGAAATATTAATTTCAACTAGAGATAGAGTGAACATGTAAATGAGTAAAAGATGTATTTTTGTGTCTTCTTTAACTTTTGTTTGAACAAGATTTGAAAATATAACAGCATGCACGAATGTTGATTTTTGATATGTTATTACTGGGTACTAGTACTACACATGTGCAAAGTTTCATCACTTAGGGAGTTATTTCCAGCTAAAACCTTAACATGACTGGACTATATCACAGCCACCTCTAATACAAGGCCGCGAAGTTCGAACTGGCAACGCCGCAATCACACCCCTTCTGGGTCCGTCTTCACACGCGCTAGGCTATAACCTAAATGATAGTTTTGCTGTTTTCACTGCTCTATAGTATGAATGAAAGATATTTAAATGGCATATGATAGGATTTTTCTACTAAAATACAAACATAATGTTCTTGTTTGCTTGTAGGCCTATTTATCGTATTGTAATAATTGCAATGAATGTGAAAATGTCTTGTAAAACTTCCAATTACAAATGAAAGAGTAAAATAAAAAAATTTCTTGGATCGTTTAAATAAAATTATTTTCAATCTTAAATATTCATATTATTGTTTTAGCCTACGTGACGAATCATAAGTAGATAGCTACGACAACATTTTAAGTTTTCTTTTCTTGTTTGAAGGCCTACTGACTGAATCATTTTATTTATTTTAATAATTATTTAGCAATACGTACCATTGTGGAAACAATCTCAGAAGTCTTCATATGGCTTTCCACATTAATTATAATGTGCAAAATGACGCTAATAATACGCGTCAATTTAATATTATTATATATTTATTTGTTACGTCTAATATACAGCCTTAATTGTTGAATGAAGTAAAGTCCCCGACTTCGTTTTCTTTTGCTAGTCCAATTTCTTAATCCTGTTGACTCTTCTTTATCCTGTTTCCTTCCTCTTGTCTCCTTTCTTCAGGAGTCTTTCTCTTTGTCATTTTTCGTGTATCAAAAATACAAAATAAATTGCGAAAAAGTCGAGTACGGCATTCTCACCTAAAACTGTCTTCTCGCATCTATATTCACACCAATCACCATCTTTATTCTTGTATTTTTCCACAAAACTAAGGTCATCTTTGTGAAAATGTTTAACGCAGACACGAGAACTGATTGAAGGTGTCCAATCTGACCTAGGAATAGCGCGAATCCACTGTTACTTACGCACCGGATCACTTGGAATCTTAAAAACTGTGCGTATCCTTCAGTTTTAATCGAGCTTTCGTAATTACTCTTGCACCCAGGCACAACACATCTATCTGGCATGATGCAGTAGCAATTTTGATGTCATTACTAATGATCAAGGGTAGTAAAAAAGCGAATAAGTACGTCGGTACGTGACTCCTCCATTCACTGTAGGTCTAATCGTAAGACGACCGCGCGCCAAGAAACGTTGGCACTTTTTGCTCGCCGCGGCCTTGTATTAGAGGTGGCTGTGACTATATGGATAATTTTTCACTACTTTTAATGAAATAGCTGTTAATATTAACAGTCTCCAAGTAAATGGAGGGCCAGGACACAGAATCCATCAAACAGAGTATAATCCGAACAGCCATTTGATAGTAGTTTGTAATAATTCAGTAAGTTAGGAATGCACCAATTTAAACTCCCCAGTTTTAGATTAGCTCAGATTTAGATAAGAATATTCACACCTGAGCAGTGATAATTTGAATAGAAAATGAGTGAAGGATGAGTTTGAATGAATGAAATAGCAGTTTTTGTTAACATTTTTACATGAATGTTTCTTATTTAGGTCCCCAGAGTCTTTTTGAAAGGAAAATTCATTGGTGGAGGCACTGAAGTCAAGGACCTTTACGGAAAAGGGGAACTGCAGAAAATGATAGCTGCATAATCATGACACAAGTTCAAATATAAATTGTATACATTGTTATCGAATTCTAAACTAAACGTTTATTTTTTTTTAATACAGGTATTCACATAATTATAAGAAGAGAACAATTTTTGTATCAATTATGTTGCATTATATTATTTTATTACAGTTTATACATCACATCATTGTGTCGGCCTTTATTTTCCTTTCTGTACTGTAAGCACTTGCCTTAATCGCAAAATATTGGAGGAAAATAATGATACATTACTCCTTATACTTATATAAGTCACTGTAATAATCTAATTTACTTTTTATTTGAGCTTTTGCAACATCTTTGCAATGGTGAAGAAAAATAGTGGAAGTAGCTGATTCCAAGAAATCAGTCTCTCAGAATGTCAAACATGTCACACTGGTGTAAAATGGTGCATATTTCTGGAACCTACCAATTATTCATAATGGAGCCGAGTGGACCCGATGATGGCTCATAGCTGGGTGATACCAATAATTAGTGAGTTAACTCCTACTCTGCTGTTTAGTTATTTTATATCTTTATTTAATTAGCTGAAATAATTTCCCCCAATCATTAAGTGATGAAAAAAAACAAAAAAAAAATTAAGGGTAAAAGTTATATTTAAAGATAAATTATGACAACTTATCACTTTTCACTTGGTGGTAAGTTCGAAATGAGTGGAAGAAAGCTGCATCTTGGGTGGGGGCAAACGTGACAAACGTGTCACACTAGGCTACTTTACTGGCCGCTAGCAAAATAGCGGATACTAGTATATACTAAGTGGCCAATTTGACATAGGCAGTAGCAGCTAGGAGAAGTAGCGCGCTAGTGGCTGTGCATAATTGGAGTTAGTTTGTTTGGAAAGGTGGTTGTTTCCAATTAAATATGTTAAAATGAGTGAAGTGAAGTGGTCCAGTGGAGATATAATAAACTTTTTAATCTTCCGTCGGGCGCATTGATTTTCAAACACCAAAGGGCACTCACGGAAGTTACCTCCGGGAGTACAAAAACTATACAATGATGAGTAAAAAACATTTTAATAGCAATAAAACTGCAAGAAAAACATTTTTTATGAGTTATTACACTATTACTTAAGTAGTATATCAAATAGAAAATGTTATAAAAACAAATAAAAATACATAAGTGTTGTGGATAAAAAAGATTTACTTTTTGTACTTATACAGTACTATCGTATATTAGAAAACAAATTGTAATATTGTATGACATAAAACAACACATACAACACGTACATGGTATAATGAATATAATCATTTTGTAAGAGGACAACTCATTCAATCAAAGCTCTTAGACAAATATTGCATCAGTGTATGACGCAAAGTATATGGTATTCTGAAAAAAGATAATTATTTCATAAGGACAACTTACTTTGTCCAAGCTCTTTAGAAAAAATTACAGTGTTTGAAATAAAACACCTATTGTCTTATGCGAAAACATCATTTGTTAGAAGGACTACACATTTTGTCAAAGCTCTTTTTCTTAAAAAATAAAGGTTTCCGAACTCACCCACCATTAGTACTTTCAACGAAATGTTGTTCCTTGTCCACCCTTTCAACACTAGCCATCAATATCGCAATTAGTTCTTCATCATCCATTTTATAATAACGCTAAATAAGGTCAAACACAAGGGCGCACACGGAACTAGGCTCCGGGAAACCCGTTACATCACAGGGCGCTCACGGAAACTACTTCCAGTAGTGACGCAAACCACTCCTCAAGGTTGACTGACAACTGAGAAAGGGGTAAGAGTATACAAAACCGATTCCACAAAAGAGGTTCGTGAGGTAAATCAGGCCACAGCCCTGCCGAACACATACTACCGGTATGGGTTTTATGACAAAAGTAGTGACCCGGAGGTAACTTCCGTGATGCACCCGACGGAAGGTTAACAGTAGATTATTTGTTTTTCAAAATTTGTCTTTAGTTTTAGACATATATCCCCAATTCTAAATAACTTCCAAAAATCTTTACAGTCTTAAATACTGTAAATAGTAACATTGTTGACTTTTGTTTTAGCTATGGATTACTTTTTGGGAGTTATTGGGGAATTTGGGATAAATACCCTAAACTAAAGACAAATTTTTTAAAAGAAATAATTTACTGTTAAATAAAGCTTCATGACTCATTTTAAATTTGTCATATTTTATTATGTGATACATAAAATTAAAGCCAAACATCCACTGAGTAATTTGAGACAAGAAAGAACTTGGTGACATATGAGCAATCCGAGATATACATCTTTTAATAAAAAATTATTTCTAAAAAGTTAACTTTAATATTGTTTTAGGGTTTGTAGCTCGTCTATAACACGTCCGATTTTAATGATCAATAGCTCAAATGAAAACACTTTTCACCGAATATTTTAAGGCTAGAACAAACTGCAAGCGTTAGTAAAAACTGGAGATAATAAGAAAAATCATCTTAAAAAATGTTCAAACTACGTAACGTCTATAAGAAATGTATGAGGGAGAATTTGAGTCTTCGTAGATACTGATCAATATTTTCTATAGATTCCTGTCTTCTAGTGGCCAGTTGATGACGTGAATATATCTCGTTAGTAGGCTTTATAAAAACGTTTGTCAAGAATAGCGGTGTAAGAATCAGCCTCTGAGATTATTAAAACATCAAAATTGCGTCTGAAGCGTCTAGTTAATACACCTTAGTCTAGTAGACTGGCTTAGAAAACGTGCTGACTAGTACTGCTTAGATATTAATAATATGTATACGGGGTTAGTTTTAACTGTCCCCCCCCCCAACCTTTTTCAACATTTTTTCAAATATCAATCCCAGACCACTTCCAAACATTGTTGGGTAGTAAGTACTTCATTTTGACAAGGTGGTCATTTCCTGCCGCCATCTTGGATCCGCCATATTAGATGCAAAATATTTTTTTCAAATGTAATGGTGGAGTGGTGACCCATTATTCCGAACTAGATTATTATCCTGATTAAAATGCCGCAAACCGTTTTTAAAAATCTTGATTCATACCAAAGTTATGAGGACTTTTTAAAACTTTATTTTTAGCCCATTTTAACATTGTGCATTTACAAACTAAGACCATAATCTCAAAATAGTGCTAGATAAAGATAAGTATACACTACCAGTCATTGCCAACCTATTTTCACTTGGTTATGAATGATGTATTTTTTTCGGCCGCCATCTCGGATCCGCCATTTTGAAATGTGATAAATTATTTTAAATATAAAAGGGGTGTTGTGACCCATCATTTCGGATTATGTTTTTAAGCTGAACTCAATTCCATGATCCATTTTTCATTTTCATATTTTGATTTTGAAATATTACCATTTTTAACAAAAATATTGCAATGTTTCATAAATAAAACTTGATAACAGAAAACGGATTGCGGCATTGAGTTTAGCTTAAAAAAGTAGTTCGAAATGATGGGTCACAACACACCCTTCATATTCAAAATAATTTATCTCATTTCAAAATGGCGGATCCAAGATGGCGGCCGAAAAAAATACATCAGTCATAAATAAGTGAAAATAGGTTTACAATAACTGGTAGTGTATACTTATCTTTATCTAGCACTATTTTGAGATTATGGTCTTAGTTTGTAAATGCACAATGTTAAAATGGGCTAAAAATAAAGTTTTAAAAAGGCCTCATAACTTTAGAATGAATCAAGATTTTTTTAAACGGTTTGCGGCATTTTAATCAGGGTACAAATCTAGCTTGAAATAATGGGTCACAACCCCACCTTTACATTTGAAAAAAATATTTTGCATCCAATATGGCGGATCCAAGATGGCGGCCGGAAATGACCACCTTGTCAAAATGAAGTACTTACTACCCAACAATGTTTGGAAGTGGTCTGGGATTGATATTTCAAAAAATGTAGGTAAAAGTTGGGGGGGGGGGGACAATTAAAACTCACCCTCTATATATAAAACAGGCATGACTAGAAATAAATAGAATGATGACAATCTCAATTGATGAGTCAATTTGATATCAATCGTATAAAGTATTCAAAAATCTACGGCTACATTTAAAATACAAACATAAAAAAAACCAGGCGTATTAGACCCATGTTAATACGACGTTTCTGTATTGTTTTGAGCTAAGGAACAAATAAACAACTTCTTTCCTGGGAGCTTGTATGTATTTACACCAGTTGGTTGGAGAAACCAACTTTTACAATCTTTTACAATTTACCTGTGTACTAAATAATTGCATTAAACATGTACTATTAATACTGTATGTACAAAGATCTCTGTTAAATGCATTACTATAGTTTGACGTTAATTTCTCGTCATAATTACAATTTATGGCTGACATAAGCTATAATGCATAATACTAATACATACAATAATGTACAGGTTCATGAACAATATTACAACATAAATTAGTCTGAGCTAGTAAGCTTTTAAGCTGGGAATACCCATGAGTAAATTACCTGATCCAACTGTCCTTTACAATAGTAATAAGCATATTTTGTACACAAATCCAACAGAAGTCAATGTTGATTTGTTTTAAAGTATTGTTTGAACTTAATTGGCTAGTCATTATTTAAAATAACTTGATTACTAGTTAACATTTTGTTTCTAGCTTTTTAAACTTTCATGATAGCAAAAGTGTTTATGTGGTAATTTATTTGTCTAATATATGTGTTAATTGCTAGTATCAATTTATTCTTAGTTGTAAAGGTTTCTAAAATACAAAAACATAAATCGGGTAATTTCTGTTATTTTTAAATTTAATTTATGGTACTCTAAAGCTAATGCAGTTATTAAAAATATACATTTTAGTTTGCTTTTTAGTTCAAATTAAAAAAGCGACGAAAGATAAATTTTATTTTGTAATTTTTATACTTAGGAATAGGCTACGTTTAAAATAATAATGATTCCAATCAATCAATTAATTCCATACAACAAACAAACTCGAAAAAAGGTCTACTGAACAAGGTAGTCCGTGAAACAATGCCCTATTCAAATAATCAGCCCACTACTAAAACAATGACAATTGACAGTCTTTTCTGGAGATAAATTAGTATTTAAACATTTTACATAAAAGGGTCATTCAAATTATTTGCAATCTTGAATGGTTTAGAATGCATTATAAAAAAAAATCAAGTTTATCATTTGGCCCAATGGTAAAAAGTCGAACGTGGAAGAATAAAGACAAATCTGTAGCTGT